CCAGCCACATGCCGTTCCACAGAAAAAGCAATATTCCTTCGTTCTCCACGAAATCTTCTAACCCTTTGCCGACCGTCGTGCATGCCTAAACAAAAGCGGGATTCATCTATGTCTAGAATTAAATAAAGTTTATTATAAAACTCTTCGCACATTTGATTTACATCCTTTAAACTATAAATGAATGACCAATCAGCCCTTAACACTTCTGAATACAAATTAATGAAATCGGCCTTTCTAAAATTGTATATTTTACTACTAGTTGAGAGAGAAAAATTAACAAATAGAGGTTTTTTGTAAAGAATATCCATAGCTAAAGGTGGATGATGGGGGTCAACTTTGACAAGCGGCTCCTTATCCTGTTCAAGATTTATTTTGATATCTCGGAAAAAGACTAGATCTAGAAGGCGATTATTACCATTAGGAACATTATTACACTGGTCTAGACCTAGATATAACATAAATTTTTTGATTAAATTGACTTTCCTGTCATGTAGATCCATATCAACATATTTGGGAACATTAAAATCCCCTGTAATAAGCACATTATTATAGTTCACAAGTTTATGTTCAAAATACGAGGGTCAGTCAAATAGAAACCGGAATTATTTTTTATTAATTTTATAATGCAAAACAAATGTACAAACGAAGTCTAGAATTTTTCTAAGTAGTCTCCCTGAAGGGCTACACATTTTTGCCAACGTCTAGGAAGCTTTTTAATTCCTTTATCATACAATGTTTGAGGCTGTGTCACAAGTCACAACCCAGTTGCGCACGAACCGCTCCACATCGTTGTCGCTTTCGAAATGCTGCCCTCCTATTGCGTCTTTCAGTGGACCAAACAAATGATAGTCACAGGACGACAAACCTGGGCTACAGGTGGGATGTTCGAAGACTTCCCAGTGGAAGTCAACCAATTTTTATGACGTTAAAAGGGCTGTGTGCGGTCGAACGTTATCGTGAAGCAAAATTACGTCTCGGATTGGAGTTTGGCGTCTTTTGGATCTGTACGCGGCTTTTGCATCGTCTAAAAGCTGGCACTAGTATGGAGCATTTACAGTACGACGTTCATGAAAAAGTCAACAAGCAATATTCCTCTCCAGTCCCAAAAAAAAAAAATGGTTGTGAGGACTATGGTGACTCTCATTTTCAACCTTTTCACGCCCCTCCTTAAATTTTCTGGACCATTCGTACACTTGAGTTTTTGACAACGTTTCTTCCCCGAACTGTGCAAGCAATTTGGTTAAAATTTCGGAGGATTTGACGCCCTCTTTTGCGAGAAATTTAATGATAATGCCTTGTGCAACCGACGCTGGCACTGCTTGCTTCGACATGATGCTACTGCTCGTTGCAAAAAGATATCGGCTGCCGCTATGGCCACATCTCTTCTCTACATTCCTACCTTCATATTCTAATTATGGCAGCTTATTACAATTAGTACAGTTTTCGAAAAAACAGAATTCCGGTTCATAATTGACTGACCCTCGTATTCAAGAATTTGTTCAAAATTTTCAAGAGTTATGTCAGGGGGTATGTATAAATTTAATATATACAAGTTGTTTGAGGGAAGAAGAATTTTACAACGTATGATGTCAATTATTGGAAGATCTGGGGGAATTTGTAGGTCAAGTACCTGGAAATTAAACTCCTTATTAAGAGCAATCAACACCCCACCACCTTAACGATTAGTAAGAGATATATTCCTATCTGAACGGATAACATTATAATTACAGGGAAATATTTCAGTTGTTAATACATCAGTGTTTAACCAAGTTTCGGTTAAGCAAATAATATCAAAATGAGTATCGCAAACGTTAGGATAAAACTGCTGAATTTTAGATCTGATACCTCGAACGTTTTGGTAATATAATCTACACGTGGAAGTCGTGTTGGGCAAATTCAGTTTAACGGATTAGAGTTACCAGTAGACACAATTTGAGGAATGTTGTTTTTATATTTAATGGTCGAATTCTTTACACCATTACTGCGTTGCAGTTCCAGTTCACTTTGCAGATCCTTTAAGTAGTTAATTTGTTGAACAGTTTTATCATCACGAATAAAAATTTTCCCAAACTTGTCATTACCATTTAAGGCATCTCGTTTCTTCAAAACCAATTTAGCCTGTTCCCGAGTTTTAAAACACAGGCGTAGCAGACGTGGTCTTCCATCCTTAGCAACACCTAATCTAGACACATCATCCGGTGAAACAACCAGAGAGTTATCTATAATTTCCAATACATCATTAGCTAAATCCACATCCGAACGGTTACTGTTTTCAAGTACATTGGATAGTATAACATTTTTTATACGAAGGGAGCGTTCAACAGATTCATTTATTATTTCCTCTTTTGCAGAAGCAGAAACACCAGATGAATTAATTAGAGATTCTATTTTAGATAATCTTGTTTCCAAAGAGGTTTTCACACTGTCAATACTGTTAGTTATCCTAGAGAGGGAGGACATGTAGCTGTCGCAACGATTACAAAGAATTTTAACGTTGTTAGAATTAAGGTTTCTGATAATACTGGCATCCGATTCCGTCATGTTTATGCATGCAAAATGCAAATGTAATTTACAACTATAACACTCTGCGAAAGCTGATGTGATTTCGCGAAAACAATGGCAACAGTTGTATTCCGGCATATTTAATTTAAAAGAAATAAGTACTAACGCCACTGAGTTATCCACTTCAAGTATCTAATAACAAATGTCAATAATTAAGAGCATTCACTCAAGTAAACAACGATCAGCTGATCAACTGAATGCTGTGCATGTACTGCGGCCAACGCCGCGCCGTGAGTGCGGCGACACTACCAACCACGAATGTAAACAATAAATTTCTATTAAAACTAAATGGTTACACAAACGTGATTAATAAATTTACAAGCAGCTAAATTTACTGCTAATCCTTACAAGCGACGTTTGCTAGCACCACACAATTGCTAAATACAAAATAAATTACTATTTGCTGAAGAAATTAGCACAAAATGAGACACACGTTACACGTATCACCACGTCAACGCTAAACAGTATTTTTGTCGATTTTCATAAAATCTGAACAATATTTCAACATTTTTTGATGATTCTGAGCGACGAAACACACTTAAAGCATACAGAATCGTCTCAGATTAGGAAAAGGAGACGTTTGGGTCAATTTTATGCATTCTGGCGTTCGTAGATACAAGAAAATTGTTAAAATTCTTCAGAAACGTCACTTTTGAAGTGTTTTCTTGTAGTTTTAAGCCAATCAGAAACCCATTGGGCTCGGAAAGAGCAACGAAATCATCAAATTTTAGCTAGAAACAGTATTTTTGTCGATTTTTATTAAATCTGAACTATATTTCAACATTTTTTGATGATTCTAAGCGACGAAACACACTTAGAGCATGCAGAATCGTCTCAGATTAGGAAAAGGAGACGTTTGGGTCAATTTTATGCATTCTGGCGTTCGTAGATACAAGAAAATTTTTTACAATATATTCAATATTTAAAACCAATATTGATTTTCTAAAAAAAAAATCTGTCGTTACCCATATTATTTTAATGTCAGAACTTCAATATTTATTACATATAAAATATTACTGGGGGTACGCAAGGAGACCATGATGAGTAACAAATAAGTTTCTAAGTTATTATCTTAAAGTTGTCTAATTGAAATTTTTTAAGGAAAATTTACCTGAACTAAAAATAAATATTACCGAGCAAATTGATGGGCTGTCCAATAGATTGGTGGAATGTGAAATTTCTGATGTAATAACTCCTGTAATGATTGATGATGAACTAACTGAAGCAACGATTATTGAGGACGTGAAGAATAAAGGATGACGAGAACCGGGATCAAGAAGGACAAGAGGACAAGACGGAGGAAGAAGAGTGGATATAAGAGGATACAAGAGGACAAGACGGAGGAAGAAAACTGGGTGAGAGATTTGGACATAAATTTTAATAATTTTCATCTCTAAAAGGAGAACACATTTACCTGAACTTTTTTTTAATTTTAGCACCCATACTTCGAGACCAATTGCCGATTTTATTTTGTACGTCCCTTTCAATAACACTCTGTATATAATTATTAATTTTTAAAAGACGTCACACCAACAAATAGGGTATGGGAATGGGGGGTATCGAACTCACACAACAACAAAAAAAACTCTCCTCCCATACCTTTGCATGGCGTGACATCACCAAAAAAAAATTATAATATACCTTATAAAAAATAAATAAATAAATAAATAAAGAACATTTAAAAATAAATACATGTATATATTTAATTTGTTTTATTATTCACAAATTACAAGAAGCACATCTGTAACGATTACGATTGCTTCGATGACGGTTATGACGGTTAAAACCACAAGAAAACGCTTTAAAAGTAACGTTTCTGAAGTTTTTTAACAAATTTCATGAATCTACAAACGCCAGACTGTGAAAAACTAACCTAAACGACTTCTTTTGGTCAACTAAGTCGATTCAGCATACCGCAGTACGTCGTGTCGAACAGAATCGTCAGAAACAAGTCGAAATATAGTTCAGAGTTCGTAACATCAACCAAAATATGATTCCTAGCTAAAATTTGATGCTTTCTTTTTGTTTTTGACCGGTTGGGTGTCTGATCTGCTTAAAACCACAAGAAAACGCTTCTAAAGTACGTTTCTGAAGTTTTTTAACAAATTTCATGAATCTGCAAACCCCTGAATGTGAAAAACTAACCCAAACTTCTCCTTTTGGTCAAGTATGTCGATTCTGCATATCGCCGTACCTCACGTTGACCAGAATCATCCGAAACAAGTCGAAACATAGTTCAGAGCTCATTAAATCGTCCAAAATATGATTTCTAGCTAGCATTTGATGCTTTGCTTGCAGTTTTCGAGCCTGTTGGGTGTCTGATCTGCTTATTTCTGATCACGCGGTATAAATTATGCAAACGATTTTTTCCGTATCACATATCAGAAAAATTACACAGAACCAAATTTAAGTTCTTTCGAAAACAAAGAAACACAAAATAAGGAAAGTAAATTTCTATTGAAACAGTGTAGTACTTAAAAGTTTAACACTATATAACGTCAATTCAATGTTTTTGTATTCTAATTTACCAGTTATTTAGCTCTGATGATGGTACCAGTGGATACCGAAACTTATTAGCCTTAATGAAAGTTCTTGTTAATGTGGTGTCGATCTTATTTATTACCGTCTCCATATAATATATCGCGTGTATTCCTTTTCTTGGTGGACTAGCCGGAAGGAAGATCTAGTAAAAAAATATTCATATCTGTCGGTATTTCTTCCACACACTTATCCAAGTCGAAATTTTCCTGCAACAGTAAGGCCTTCATAATTTATTGAATCATTTACATAACTGCTTCTTAGTGCTGGTTTCTGAAATTACTTAACCAAATCTGAAGTAATAAATCCCATGGTCTATATTTTAACTTCTGGTGAAAGATATTATAATCAGCTTTCTGTAGTCTATCCAAATATGCAAAAGTAGCTATAGCCGGTAAGAAAACACGTCGACCATCTACTGATATATTTTTTTGTAAACTTCGCGCTTTCATTAAATGCTGGTAAGCTCTAGATGCCATCTCATAGACACAGTTTCCTAATAAATCACTTGGTTTACATCTAAATAGCTCTTCATGACTTATGCGATACTTGGTTAACAATTCTTGAGGAATAGATACAAAATTTAACCGTTGACTCATCGGAACATTTCTGAAAATGTGCATTTTTTTAGTATAATATATCATTAACAATTGAAGAATATGCATACAAAAAGAACATTAACCACAGCAAAAGTAAAATTCTATGTTCAATCCTATTCTAAAAAATTATAATACATGCTCAAGTGTCTTAAGGGTGTGAGAATCTTGAATAAGATTAACGTAAACTATTGTTGTTTATTTCTTCTAGAAATTCAGAATCTTTAAGAATGGAAATTAAAAGTGATTAGTTCTTTAACACGTTCTCTGCGTCATCGAGTACAGACATATTATAATTCCCTATTAATCAAATACATGTACAGGTTTGGACATAGGGAATTGACACAGAGAATTGATTTTTATTTTATAACCTCCCCTAATCACTTTGCTATTATTGAGTGATGATGCAATTGTGAAGGTAAAGGAGGGCTATTGGCGAGTATTTTTTTCAAATCTTTGCTCGCGTCCATTCACTGTAAAAAGGCTTTAAAAACCGTTGAAATTAGCGCTTGGTTCGATTTGTCTCGAAATGTTCCGTCGCAATTCGACAATCGTGTTTTTGGATTAGCCATGGTACAAGAAGACATGGTATGATATTGGGCATTTTGTGGAAAGTCACGTGGATGTCATTATCGCTAACTTTAAATTCTGGCTGTTGCATGTTCGTATTATCCATGATACAAATAAACAGGGTATGGACATTCCGTGAACCAAATCGAGATTTTTCTGCGCACCAACTGTGAGACGTCACGTGGAATAAATGGCCGTCGAGAGACCTGTTTTGACAGCCACAGTTTGACAGTTGTCAAATATTAATTTGTTAAATAATATTATGAAAACACACGTTGTATTGTTACTACAAAGTTTCCAAATTTTCGATAAACGTAAAAGTGTAAAAACGACAATGGCGAAAGATAATAAAAATGCCGGTACTATCCGAATCTATTAACCTTCAAACTACCGGGTGGGGTCCAAATGGACCCCATTGATACATTTTCCTATTTTTTCCCGTTATTTCTGGTTTAACAATAGTGGTATTTTTAGTAGCTTCGATTAAGGCCTTTTGCTATGCATTCAAAAAATATCAGTTGTATAGGTGTAACAGTTTGTTACAAAAAAAAAAAATTAGTCTCTTGGGGTCCGCATGGACCCCACCTGGTTCTTTATGTTGCCATTTTTTTGTCTATATTTTGGAGATTTTGTTGCACCTACAGGTCTTATTCTGAGAATTTAGTCTTACAAAAACCATTGTTTTATTCTTTACTAGTTTATAGGCGGCGTTGCAGTTTTGATACAGGCTTGCAGGTGTCAGTATCGGTGTCAGTGTGACAATGTAATCACTGTAAAAAATTAAATTTTGTTTTATCAATGGCACGTTATCAAAATCGATATCAGTACAATCCCCCGGACGCTCTTTCGTCTATATAAGTAGCAGGGACAGAAATCAAGAAATTTTTGCATTTCCTGCAAAAGATTTGTTTGCCGAGATCATTCTACTCATACCGTTGAATGTCAGGAATGCTGGAACAAAAAACTGTAACGAAAAATGCTTATTTAATATTGTTATGTAATTTTTTTAACTTGGTTGTGTTTAAAATTAATAAACAATTTGGATTCGCCAAAATTTTTTTATTAATTCTATAATTTTGGCTAAATAAGGCCATGGGGTCCAAACGGACCCCACCCGAAACGATGTGTAATTTTTCCCACCCGGTAGTTTGAAGGTTAAGCAGGGGGATGACATCGTCACAAAAAATGTTTTAACATAAAAAAACCTTTGCTAAGTTTCTAATTAATTTACTTTTATGCGTAGATCATACATATATTCCAAAATAGCAGTTGTACATAGTTAAGCAGTTTTTAAATATAGATTTCAATTTCACGCGCTCATCGAACAGCCACCTGACGTCACGACAACATGCACGTGTCCATACCATGTTTACTTGTATCATGGTAAAAGTAATTTCACCACGAAAGGTGACAGGGGCGGGGCTTAAGTTGCGCGACTTGTAGTTGGGCTAGCAGTAGCGTAACATCGGTGTATTGAGAAGGGAGGCTCGGCTGAGTTATATTTCTTTCAAAAACAATTAAAAAATGAGCAGTTTCTACAAAAGAATAGAGATAACCTTTTAATAAAAATAAATTTATTGTTTGGTAAAAAATAAACTTCCGCAACAATAAATTATTTAATTATTATAATCTATCACAAAAAAATTGGTATTTTTAATTATTAAACGAGTTTATAATGCGAGGACTTATAGCATGAGTAAAAAATTTCACGAACCGGGCACTATAAACCAGTATCATACGCTATTTTATAGTCGACTAGTCTTAAATCAACAGTTAAATCTTTAGGTAAAAGCAGGGATAAAAGTCTGAGAATCAGCAACCCATGACTAGAGTTACAATGGTTTTTAATTTTCTGACACAATTTGTCAATACCGTAAAGTCTGATTATAATAACGCTTAACGTTTTCAGTCTTTAAGCCCGAAGACCGTGCCCCGACGTAATAATCACAGTTCATATTTTAGCATAATTGTCATTTATAGAGCGAGTTGTAATTACGTATTTTGACGTTAGTTGGTGTTTTCTGTGTTAACTATTTTATTCAACTCATACATCATAATACAGCATTAACAAATCTTGAAATCCGTTTTCTATATTGTCACCGCTAATAAAATAGAAAATTGATATTTTTATTGGCTCAGCCATGAAATAGCGCTGGACAAAATAGCGTGCGACAAAAAAACTGCCACAAAATAGCGCAGAGTCTAAATACAGCAGGACAAAATAACGCATAACGAAAACGCGCACTTAGAAAATAGCGCTGCGACAAATAAGCACACGACAAAATAATGTGCGACAAAAAGTACGACTTTTATATTCTATCAAATAGTTTATAAAACATAAATAAATAAAAATACATACGCAACTTTTCCGTCCATCAACGCGTGCACCGTAAATACTGGTTTAAACAACGTTGGACCTTAGATCATATAATAAATAGATACCAATACTCAAACTGAAAGCTGTGACTAGACATGAAGCTATCTGTTGTCGTTTTCTACGTCAAGGGGGGTATTATAATGCTATCCTTGTGTGATCACCACATCTTCATCTTTGTTATATGCATTTCATCTGCATATGTCTATTTCACTTCCATCCTGGTACCGCACCAGCGCAACAAATCGCTTTTGACAGATGTTTCTTCTAACCTCTCTTCCGAGTTCTTGTACGAAAAACAATTTTAGAATTTAGAACAAAGATTCTATTTTAAATGATGTAATCATAAAGGATCACAATTGTTGCTCAATAATTTACTATTCCTTTCGTTATCTACTGTGAATTATTTATAAAATCAAGCTGTCAACATCTTTCGAACGAAATTAGTTCAGACATACTTCCTAAAATTTAGGCGCGCAAAATTCAAATAGTGATCAGGCAAGGATAGCTTGATTGTAATCCCTCTATGCAGAAGAGAGATGTGTGACAGCAGGATGTCGTCACAGGCTCTGCCAGGGAAAGAACACGGCGTGGTGGTATCTATTTATTATATGATCTAAGCGTTGGACACGTTTTAAATGTACCATGTGCGGCCCAATGAGTGAAGTCTTTTAACAAATTCACGTTTTGTCGTGTACCAAAGGCAATAATGCTTCCCGCGTCTTCTCGACCAATATCAAAGTAAAGGAAATTTTCATTTTTTTCAGTATGTTTAAATTCACCTTCTATCTTCATCTCGCTGGCGTTGTTGAAGTTACTCCCGGTACCACCACCAACACTTCTTGAAAGTTGTTTCTTTCGAATCCTTTGGATAGTTTTGCGCGATGCCTCGTAACTAGGCATATATGTCAGATATACCTACTCGCCTGGTTTACTTGAATAATTTGCCTGGGCTGTAACACTGAAGATGAGGTCGCGGTGATTCTAATGGCTTCCTTAAATTGATTAACCTCCTTTTTTCCACCTGGAGTCCGTGGATATGTTGAGTTGTTGACTTAGGTTCCTTATTCATTTCATTTTTCGTCAGCAGCAACCTTCCTCTACAATTTTTCTCCGTACTCCGCCAAGATATCGAATACTCCGACTCCCATATTTGCGATAGCGGTATCCTTCGAAAAACAGAATTTTTCCGCCCTTTTGTGACGTACAATATTCCATCATGCAAATTTATTTATTTTGATGTAAAGTTACTATGCATACGCACAAACGCGCTATAATTAGCTTTCGCTATATCGTCCTGCGTTAGAGACCCTAGATATACTTTGTAAATCAGTATGATTAGGTATTCCGAATTTTTCTGTTTTACCGGAGATGCCGGTTGCAATTTGTAAGAAGTACTTAACCTCATAACACTTCTTAAATACAAGGTACTGTCAACAAAATTTCAAAGAAACTACTTGGAGCACTACGCCACTCTTTGAAAATCTTAACCTATAAATTTCTTTTGAGGTTTTTGAAACTAAATCACTAAATTAGATAAAGACAGCAACCACTATAGCTATTTCATAACTGACCGTCTTGTAACAAAGACAGGGACAGAAAATGTCCGTGTCACAACTCTTTTCCAAAGTATGTCTAGGGACACTATCCTGCGCTATTTTGTCCAGACGTTATTTTGTCCTGGCGCTATTCTGTCGCGTATGAATTTATGGCAGTGCTATTTTGTACAGCGCTATACAGTCGCATTTTATTTTGTTGCACGCCAGTTTGTCCAGCGCTATTTCATAGCTGAGCCATTTTTATTAACACCAATAATGTTTTAATATCTTAAAGTCGAAATATTTTGAATACCCCTCGGATTACACCCAGCATTTTTTTAAATTTTCATCGCCGCTGCCACTGCTTTCCCGATATTTGTAAGATCAAACCAAAAGAATGTTCTGCGCACTCCCACCCCTTTCGTGATGAAACCTGCTCTATAGTGATGCAAGTTATCGTTACATTTCGGTACTTGTAACTATTCGTTACTTTCAAGTACAATATTCGTTACTTTATATTCGTTAGAAGTA